TAGTGTAGTAGTATGGATCGAAGCTGGATTCATCAACGTCGTATTAGTTAAAAGTATGAGTAAGGGGTTTCTGAGTTCATACAATATGTTAAAGAACACGCAAAATAGGGGCATATTTTTGCCCTTGTGTTCGTTGTCTCAATCAAGTATATGAAGACTTGGACAACATTCATGATCATTTATCTATTCATCTATGGAATAATGAGAACTTATACAGTTTGGACTTGACATGGGGAAATATTATATAAGCCAACAACTTTAAGAGGTTCAGATTATGTCGACGAATGGATGAGTGATCATTTAGACAAAATGCTACGTAACGTGTGCGAAGAAAATTTTGGAAGAGCTCATTTATATGATAGTCTTAAGAACAATTCAGAGCAAGACTTGTATCCATGATGCATCAATTTTACAAGGTTATCAGCTACTTTGAAATTGTTTTGTTTGAAAGCAAGAAACAAATGGGTTGATAAAAGTTTCACAAAATAAGGTCCACCAGCTAAGGTCATGTAGTATTTACCTATAATACCTAGGTTGAAATGATTGTTTTCTGTTAAAGAAGATGCGAAGAATCTTATGTGGCACGTTGATGGAAGAAAATGTGATAATCTTCTTCGACACCCAGCTGATTCCCTACAATGGAAGAACATTGATGGCACATTTCCCGAATTTAATGTAGAGCCAAGAAACTTAAGACTTGCACTTGATACTGATGGTATGAATCCTTATGGAAACCCCAGTGGCAAACACTATTTCATGGCCAGTTATTTTGATGATTTACAATCTCTCTCCTATGTTGTGCATGAAGAGAAAATACATGTTGTCTATGATGATATCGGGTCCTAGACAACCTGGAAATTGCATTGATGTTTATCTAAAATCGTTAATTGACGATTTAAAAATGTTGTGGCAAGAGGGCGTCGAGGTCTTCGATTCATATTCAAAAGAAAACTTCCATTTGCGTGCAATGTTGTTTTGCACCATAAATGATTTCCTAGCATATGGGTGTTAATACTTCCGCAAGTGTATCGAATCGTATCAAGTAATAATAATTGGTAAGACCAAGTATCATTTCCCTAGAGACTCACGACCTAAACATTCATATGATTTCTTGATTAATTAGGACTTGTAAACAAAATCATTGTGTTTGTATTGGAAAATAAATATGCATGCAAGTTTGATCAATTGGATTGAAAGATGCAAAGGTGATTGATATAAAATAATGAATGATTATGTTGTTGGGGTTTCCATCTAATCCTATCCACTCTCATGTATTTATGAATTCATCTTCTTCATTAATGTTAATGTCACTTTCTAATTTACCTTAAACTCGATGTCTCGTTGAAGAAAGCCTACTCCTAATTACTAGTTCACAATGTCTTGTCTCCCTAGCAATTAATAATGCATTACATTCGCATAGAAGCTTAAAGGCAACCAACCCTCATATTCCTATGTCTAGGTAATATTGCTTTTGGGAGAATTTCCCAAGTTCTAGATTTTCTCATATGTGTCCATAATAACAAAATCAATAATCATGCAATTGAATGAGTTAAACAAAGGCATGCATAGAGTAAAGAGGAAAAATCCTAACAATTAAAGAAGTAAAACATTTTATAATAAGAATCAATTCAAAACATGAGAGTTTCAAAGGATTACATTGTTTCCCCAACAACAATGGAGGTTGAGTTCACCATAGACATGGTGAAACTAGATGAAAATAATGAAAAGAATGAAAGATAAAACCCTAAAAGTTGAAGATCGGAGCTTCAACATCCAAAATCCGCCTCCAAGGGGTGAAAGGAGTGTATTTTCGCCTCTTTCTATCTAAAGATATGAACCCTAGGTCATCCAAAATCTTAAATAGTTTATAAAAATAACAGAAAACAGGCCCAAGCCCACATCGTCGGCGCTCAGTGCCCCAAAAGAGTGTCTCAGGAGAAGGGAATATTTCTCTTGAAGTTCGAACTCTCCTCCTCCTTCTACTTTCGTCCAAGCCTTCAAGAAGAGGTTCAGAAATCTTTTTGCTTCTAGTCTGAATATTACCCTGCATACACAAGGAAACAAAACCCTAGAAAAATTTTGTTAGCACAAAAAGATAGAAAAGAGAAGAAATAATCAAAAGATATAATTGAAAAGATAAGAAGATAAGAAATAAAAACCGAAAAATAAAAACAGAAAACAAAAATAAAAATAGAAAAATAAAAACAGAAAAACAAAATTCACAACAAGTCAAAAATAATAAAAAATCACACAAATAGACTAGTTAAACCACGAGTCCCCGGCAACGGCGCCAAAAACTTGATGAACAAATCTTCAATCCCCGAAAACGGAGTCAAAAACTTGTTAACCCTCGGCAAGTGTAACCGAATCGTATCAAGTAATAAACCTGGTAAGACCAAGTATCGTTCTCCCAAAGGACTCACGGCCTAGATAGTTGTGTGATTTTGTTGATTAATTAAGACTTGTGAACAAATTGTTGTAAGTTTCAAATGCAAAAGACAGAAAAGTAAATATGTATGCATGCGATGATCAATGGGCAAGAAGAAACAAAACACGTGAATTGAAATATATGGATGAATATGTTGTTGGGGTTTATCAATTTCATCCTATCCACTCTCTTGTATTCAGGAACTCATCATTCGTTTCATTAATGTTAATTCCACTTTCTAAATTACTTTAAACCCGATTCCTCGGCGAAGAAAGCCTAATTATAATTACTAGTTTACAATTTCTTGTCTCCCTAGTAATTAATCATACATTATAGTGAACAGAAGCTTAAAGGCAACCAACCATCATACTCTTATGTCTAGGTTTGTAATATAGTATTGGGAGAGATTCCCTAGATCTAGATTTCCCCGTACGTTCCCACATCGACAAAACCAATAATCATGACATCGAATGAGTTAAACAATGCATGCTTTGAGTAAAGAGAAAAAATCCGTAACTATTAATGAAAGAAAGCATGTATCATATAGATGATTTTGAAGAACAAATTCCATACAAGAGAGTTTCTAAGGATTTACATTGGTTCCCCAACAACAAAATAAGTTTAGTTCACCATATTCATGGTGAAACTAGATGAAATATAATGGAAAAATGAAGGATAGAACCCTAGAAAGTTGAGAAATGAGCCTTAGCATCCAAAATCCTCCTCCAAGGAGTGAAAGAGTGTGTTTTTGCTTCGTCCTAGCCAAAGATACCAACCCTAGAATGTCCTAAAGCTTATATAATATTCTAAAAAATACAGAAAAGTTGGCCCAAGCCCAGAAAACTGCCGCTTAGCAGTAGTCACGTGTGACCACTTCTTCCCCTTAGCGGCTTTTCTCCCCTCAGCGGTGCCAACGGGTCTTTGAGAGTGTCGCTTAGCGGTAATTGGCGCTGAGCGATATTTGCGTTTTCTCCTCTTTTGCACTTTTTGTGTCGTTTTCTGATTCCATCTTTATCCCTTTTCACTTCTTTCATCAATTTCATCTAAAAACCTGCAAAAACAAGGAAATCAAGCATAAAACCTGTGCAACTCTATTATTTCCAACAATTCAACAAAATCATGAGTTCAAGCTAATTTCTAAGTCATAAAGATTGTAATTGAAGTCAATTTTAAGTATAAAAATAACAGTTTTTCAACTGTTATCACTAGGACGAGGGTCAATGCTGGAAACATGGAGGTGAAACCGGCGTTGATACAATTGGTGAAAAGCAACCAATTTAATGGGCTATCAATGGTGTGTCGGATTAAGGTATAAAACTTAGTTTGTTTCCTTTCTCATTGGGAGGCAATGCTAAGTTATGGTTGAACTCTTTTCCGGAAGGGAGCTTTCTTGAATGGCAAGTCGTGGTTTCAAAGTTCCTTAACAAGTACTTCCCACAATCCAAAATCAACAAAGGGAAGCAAGATATTTCTTCTTTTAGACAAGGAAAGGAGGAGACGCTAGCTCGAGCATGGGATAGACACAACAGCTTGTTGAGAAAGACGCCCGCTCATGGCTTTGATGAAGCAACTGTAGTCATTCTTTTCCTTGGAGGTCTTGGTTCACAAACCAAGTTGATGCTCTATAGATGCCTCAACTGGAGGTAATATTAAATGTAAGACTTCAGAGGAAGCCACTAAATTGATTGACAACATGGCTACTAATGATAATGAGATGCATAATGAGAGAGGAGCTCCAATTCAATAGAAGGAAGTTTTACAATTGCAATCTCATGATGCCTTGCTCGCACAGAACAAAATCATAACTCAACAGTTGGAGAATTGGACAAAGACACTCGCTCAGTTACCAAAGGAGCTGAAGAATGTTTCACAGGTTCAACAACAACTTTGTGAATTGTGTGGTGGTGACCACATTAATGGTCAATGCGCTTTTCTAGTGGAGGCTTTAGAAGACGTAAATTTCATGGCCAATCAATTTTCATACCGCCAAGGTAACTTCAACAAAGGGTGGAAACCTCACCCAAGCATGGGTCAAGGTCAGAATGGACAAGCTGGACAAGCAGGACAATTCAATAGACCACAACAGCAACCATCACTATGGCAACAATTATCTGCATTGAATGAGAGATCAACAAGGTTAGAAGACACTCTTCAACAGTTTATGCAGGTATCAATCTCCAACCACAAGAGCACTGAAGCCTCCATTAGAAACTTGGAGATGCAAGTTGGCCAATTAGCTAAGAAGTTGGAGGATATGCCTGATAAGAGTTTTGGGGCTAATATTGAGGTTAACCCTAGGGAAGAGTGTAAAGCTATTGCAAGTACAGATGATAAGAGGGAGGATGAGAAAAAAAAGAGTGTTGAGTTAGATACAAGAGAAGAAAAAGAAGAGAGAATAGGTGAGGTTGAGAGAAAAGAGAAAGACAAGAAGAGGGGAGAGAAAAAGATTGAGAAAAATAAAAAAGTTGGTCCTTATCCTAAGTGGAGTGAAAAAATTGAAAAAGAGAGACAATATGGGAGCTTTAAAGATATCTTCAGGCAATTGGAGATTACAATACCTTTAAATGAAGCAATGCAACAAATTCCAGCTTATGCAAAGCACATGAAGCAAGTCTCCACAAAGAAGAGATATCTAAATGAAAAGCGAGATTGCAGTGTTATTGAGAAAAAACCACTTCCTCCAAAAGTGAAAGATTTAGGAAGTTTTACTATTTCTTGCGTCATTGGGAAGGAGAATATAAGGAAAGCCCTATTTGATTTAGGGTCAAGTATAAATTTGATGCCTTTATCTCTGCTCAAAAGGATTGTTGATCTTGAAGTCAAACCAACAAAGGTGACTTTACTAATGGCAGATGGATCTTCAAAGAAACCCTATGGTGTGGCGGAAGATATAGTGGTTTCCATGGACAAACTAAAATTCCTGGTAAATTTAATGGTGATGGAGATGAAGGAGGATGAGAAGGTCCCAATCATTCTTGGGAGACCGTTTATGAAAACGACAACGATAATTATCAATGTGGATGATGCGATGATAGTGCTTCAAGACCGAGGAGAAAAAGTGATCTTTAATGTCTTCGAAGGGGTGCAGCAGATTCAAGTGAAGGAGGCTAGTCATAAAGCTGCATGTAAGGATGCACCCTTAAATAGTTCAAAAGCTGCAAAGCCGGTCTTCAAAGGTAAAAATTGTTTCTTGT